TAAAACCGTGGCTACTGTTCTATGGTGGCTACGATCTTCGTTTGTTAGAGAATTATTTGGAAATTGATAAGAGTTATCATAACAACACAACAAACTACACTGAATAGTGAATGCAGCAGCTGCTGCTGAAGAAGTCCGTTAATTTAGATGTTTGTATTTTATATCAAACTATTTTGCTCAATTATTATAGATTAACATATAGTATTTACTATTAGTTTATAGGGATTGTTTTTACATATTAAAATGGGCGACGTTAATGACGGAAATGCTTTTCCATATGAAAAAACTTTATTGAATACTATTGTAAAAAATGCTAAAGAGACCAAGGTAACAAAATATTTTAAGTTTGTAATATAACTTATATTGTAGTATTAAATATTTAGTATATAATATAGAAAATATATAGATTAATTCAAACAGATTGGTTATGTCCATATGATATAACTGAATCAAACTACCTAAGCATTTTTAAGGTAACCCATAATCTTTTAATTTTAGCATCCAGAAATAAGTGACTTCAATGTTATTAAACCAATCAGCCGAGGAGCTTATGGGTATGTACATTTTTTTTGGCTTCACAACATATTTTTTTTTTGTCTTCTTTCCTTTGTTAAAATTATTATGTTTTAACTTAAATAAATGTGACAGATCTAATAAGGTGTAAAAATATTCATAAGCCCTATAAAAATATAATATGAGAATATTAATTTAATTTTGGGTACCTATTGAATTTTTATTATATTGGCTAAGTTTTGTAGATTTGATTAAAATATACTAATTTCATTTAAATTAGTAATCTAACTTGTCTATAGTTTTAATTAACTTAATTCTTTTTAGAAAAGTTTATTTGGGTCACAAGAAGAACAATTTGGAACAAATGTATGCTATAAAAGTTATGAAAAAAACTGATATGATAAATAAAAATATGATAACACAAGGTGATATTTTAATAATTTTTAATTATTATTTATTCAATGTAAATAACTATAATTTTGTTATATTCTATTATTATTTATTTCAGTTGTCAATGAAAGAAATGCTTTGGCATTGGCAAACAGTCCATTTTGTGTTAAACTGTTCTACTCATTACAGACATCGAGCTGTATTTATTTGGTAATTTATCTAACTGTTTCTTATACAAATTAAATGTTACACAATGCATTTATCATTTAACGTTTATTGTTAAAAATATCTCAACATTTTAAAACAATTAACCTGCTACTAGAGTATATTAAAGAAGCTTGAAAAAGCATTTAACACTTTAATTTTGTTTATATTATTGAAGGTTATGGAGTATATGGTTGGTGGTGATGTCAAATCACTGTTAAGTGTCATGGGTTATTTTTCAGAGGATGTAGCAACATTTTATATTGCTGAAGTTGCACTAGCCTTACAATATCTTCACAGGTAGATAATTTATTAGTAGTTGATAAATTATAATCATGTACAATAATATTAATTTTATATATATAATGTGATTTATCACTGTTCCATAAATCATTTCTAAAAATGATATCTTTCTTAGGTTTAAATTTTATAAAGATTTGTTAAGTTTCAATTATTATAATTTTCTTCTAACTTCTTTAGCTTTATTATGTGCCAACAACTAAAACAATGCAAATACATTGTACCTAACTAAATAAAACCATTTATTCAAGTTTAAATTCTTGAATACTAAATTAATATGTTTAAATGCATATCTTTTGGTACACAACACTCGATTAAATACATATTTTGTTCATAGTTATTTTTATTCATATTTCAGTCATGGCATTGTACATAGAGACTTAAAACCTGATAATATGTTAATATCGGGTCATGGCCATATTAAATTAACTGATTTTGGTCTTAGTCGAATTACAATTCATCGAGGTAAATAGTAATGATATTGTTTACATATTATAACAGGTAATATAATACATTTTAAAATATTTTTAGATTTGGAAATAACAGATTTTATAAATAATTCTCCAAATGTTCCTACAAGAACCCCCGGCCAATTACTATCTCTAACATCACATTTTTCATTTGTAAGTAGATTTATAATTTTTATATACAACAATTAAAATTATAATGAACTTTTAGAAGAATATTTTTTATGTTGGTTTAAAAATTTATATAATGTTAACTTTTCATATAGGGTTCAAATGAGAAAACTTTTGCCAGTGGTGTTAGTATGGGACTTAATATGGATTTAGATGAAGATGATTATAACAGTAGTCATGTGTCTGGAATAATACCATTTCAATCAGCTAACAATACATTAGAAGGAACTACATTTTATACCTGTGAAAATTGTAGTGTTTCTACAGATTGTGGATGTAGTATAAATGATAAAGTTCAAGATACTCCATGTTCAACAAAAAATTTTAGGTACCTACTTATAGAATTTTTTAGTTTTGACCATAGGCTGAAATCCATTACAATTCCAGGGGGGAGGGCTAACATAATATGAGTGGGGGGCTTTGATCCCACACAACTTTAAAAGGAGGGCCCTGGATGGTTTTGATTCATCATAGTTCAAATTTTGAGTAGCCTATATTTTATAAATTAATATTTGAATTTACATTATTTTTTATAGCCACAAAGTTTCAATTGTTAATCCAACTTTATTAACTGATTAATATGCTATATCAATGATGCAGCCAATGTTTTTTTTCTTGGTGGCAGTGGGAGGAAGGGCTAAACACTTTTGAATGAATCATGAGCATAGTTAAGGGAGAATAAACCTGACATGATAATGTAATATCTAATACTCTAATGTTTAGTGATTAAATATAACTGTTCAATTGTTGTCTGTTTATGGTTATGTAACACCCTCCAATATTTAATCAATACATAAGTTATAAAATATTAAATTTAAATAGTATATATATACATAAATATATACATAAACACAGTTCATGTCTCTCCGCTACAGTTATTGGAAATGCTACTGAGTTGTTTTGAAAAACTGTATTCTACTCAGATTACAAACATTGATTGTTATTGTGAGTGTGTAAGACTGGTTGAAATTTATATCCATTTTAAACATTTTTTTAAGCTCTTGGTTTTGGTTATAGTTAGTGTTAGAAAATTAAAAAATGGAGGTTTTACACAGCCAATTATAAACCTATTTCAAGTTCTGATTTAAACTAAGACATTTCTTGTCAATTTTAGTGTACACTTGACTTCTAACCTATATACTTGTCTTTATCTATGGGTTATAATCCCCTGTTTAACTAAACATTCAAATTATAGTTTAGTGATAACCATTTTGAATTTTTACTTTAGAATATTCTCTGTATTATTTAATGTAATTAGTGTTCATACAAATTTATAAAATACCGTTACTTTTATTTTAAGTAAACGATTCAAATCATCTGGTTCCGATTCCTCAAGAAGATATAGACGAAGAATATTACCACTTAGAGATTTAGAAGGTAATACATTAAACAGTTGTGGTCTTACCCAACAAATTAAACAAGTGGATTTGTCAAGTATTGGATCTAATGCATCAAGCTCAGCTATTAAAAGTGTTCTGAAACTAAAGTAAGGTTATCTAGAAAATTCATTTTTCAAACTAAAAATAATTACAAATTTCCAAAAAATTGATTTAGAGCTGAAGAACGGTTGAGTAGTGGCCGTGTTGTCATATCCACCCCAGTACAATGTTCTCGTAAACGTTCCCACGGAGACACACCCAAAACGATAAAAACTACTAGATTTTGTCTGCCTACACCTACAAAATCACCATCTTTTTTAAAAAGCTCTCATATGGTAAAAATTTAAAAAAAATATGAATTAACCCTTTATTTATATTATTTATCTGTTAATTATAGGAAGAATTAATTATGAGTCCAATTGCAACTCCATATTTATCAAAGTTAACTCCATATCGAACTCCAAAATCTTTAAGGAAAGGAAAGAGAGCTAGTGATGGTAGAATATTAGGTACTCCTTATTATTTAGCTCCTGAGTTAATTCAAGGGATAGAACATGGTAATTATATATTATTAATATAAATCAAATGATATAAATTTTAATTAAATTTGTAATGTAGGATCTGGTGTTGATTGGTGGGCATTGGGTGTTTGTCTTTATGAATTCATGACAGGAGTTGTCCCATTCGAAGGTGAAACAGTACAAGAAATATTTGAAGATATTCTCAGGCGTGGTAAGTTTCAAAGTATTCCTACACATTTCTTCTTAAAAATATAAACTTAATTTTTCAGAATTAGAATGGCCATCTGGAGATCAAACATTATCTAGAGAGGCAATGGAAGCAATCGATAGTCTGATGGCAATAGATCAAAATGAGAGATATTCAGGGTCAGAGTTGAGATCTTCCACAGAATTATTTTCAAATATTGATTGGGATAATCTTTTAAAAGAAGTACCTCCATTTGTTCCAACGCCTGTCAGTATAGACGATACATCGTACTTCATAGCACGAAATGAACAACAAAATATTCAATTATCAAATATAGATCTAGGATAATTCAATGATATTTTTGAAATTTATTTTTTTTTTTTAACGTTGAAATTAAAACTAACAAATAAGAATTTTTTGTGATATTTTGTTCATTTTCACAACTATTTTATTGTGGAAACCAAGCCATATTTTGTTTACACACATTTAAATTTCTTACATTAGTTATTAGTATATAAAAAAGTTAATTTTTAATTAATATTGGATTATTTTGTTTAAATACATTTAAATTTCTTATATTAATTATCACCCCTTATCAGTTTAAATAAAATATAATCATTTTTAATTACTATTAGAATACCAATGTTCTTTCACATTAGTAAACTACTTTTTAATTATATGTATTCGGTTCAACAAATTAACTAATAATATATCTTAAGTACATTTCCTATGTAGTATGCATATAATACTAGTACTATATCTTTATTTATATCACTAAAATTCAACTTAAATTTATATTAATACAAAAATATATTTTAGTCTTCGTCGAAAAATTCTTCTTGATAAAATTTCATTTTTAATAGTATTGTTAACTATCAAATAATTTATCAAACACTTCGTCAGGAGTCAATGCTTTAGTTGTTGCGAATTGGGATCCAAGTAATTTCATTATTTCACCATGCTTTGATAGAGGATTTTCCCTTTTAACTCTGCTATAATTTTCTTTCACAAATATAGCAAATTTTGATAGTTTTTTGGGGAGTTTAGGTTTTTGTTGTACATCATTTAAACTATATAATTCTTTCAATGGGTCCTCGTGAACAACTGGAAAATTGTTTTTAGGGGTTGGGTTATTATTAATTTTGTTTTTGATTAATTCAAATTCTCCATAACAATGTCCACATCTTTTTTTTTCTAAATTTAATGATTTTGAATGACGTCCAAAACTGAAATAAATAATAAAATTTTATTAAGCAAGTCACAAGACTATTGTTGTGTGGAGACACAGTATAGTTTAGCTATAGCATTTATAGTACACACTTAAGGATATTTATGCACATGGGCGTACATGACCACGGGGCATGGCTTTCAAAGTTGAAACATGGCTATAGAGCAGCGTTTCCCAACCTTTTTCCCTCGAGGCACCCTAATCCCAACCCATATTTAGCCGCGGCACACTTGTCACTGACTTATATATGTATAGGTACATATTTTTTTTATACTATAAAAAACTCGGGCCAGGCAATCCCTCAACATCAACTCTATGAGCATTATTTGGACCAGGCAATTCTTCGCTTAATTTACGTTTCTTAATTAAAAAACGATCCATCGTGCGCCACACGTAGTACAAATGATAATCGTAGAGCGAAAAGAAAATAAAACACGGTAATAAGAAAATTATATGTACTTCACAGCAGACGACAAACGACTAACTGACTTTTAAATTATTTAATAAGAAATAGTGAACAATATCCCCGATAAAAGAATCGTTAAAACTATTTTAACCAATTGTTATCGACATTTTACGTAAACATTTATTAATAGTCGTGAAATTTCGCGGCACACCACTACACATCGCTATAATCCCATATTAGTACTTATTGAATCACATAACACAATATTTATGTTTAAATAATATACATCAATTTATACAAGTAAAAGAAAATATTTAATTACTCACCTATAACCACATTTTACACATTTGTAAGTAAATTTAGTTTGTATGTCATAACTATGGCATCTTTTTATAATCGGAAGTTCTGGAAACTTTTGCATAGCTTTATTTGCCCAACTTTTCCATGGTGGGCCATGTCCTTCCGAAATACCATTAAATATCCAACAAGCGGCATGGCAAAGTTCATGAATTAATGTATCTCTTAATCTTTCAGCTGTATCAATAATCTGTGAAATAATATATATTTATATTAATTATAGTTTTTTTTCTTATACAATTTTATTAGAAACAAAATAAATTAGTAAAAAAAATTACTTTAGAAGAAAGTTCAATGCGAGATACTCTTTCACATTCTAGATTTTTGTTTATTTTTACCAAACGTTTATTGAAACATGCACCAGCGGTTGACCTTAATCGTGCGTTCCATTTGAAATTCATATCGGCAGGAAGCTAGTAAAATAAAATAATAACATACATTCATAGAAAAAGTAAAATAACTAATAACATTCATGCAAAAATCTTGAATAACAAATGCAATAAGAGAAAATAATTGTACTTCAGTAAATAAAAGTTTGATCAACAAATAATTGTTCAATCTAATACCTACCCAAGAGACATTCATTACTCTGTTCAATATGAGAAGAACATTAGAGGCTTTTTCTGGGCTTGAACTCAGTAGTGAGTTTGAGTATTTTACTATTTTCAATGTGTGTCTTGGTGGTTTACTAATTAATAATATGGGCTTCTTGGAGGAAATAATGTGACCATTGAGTTTCTTCTCATATTGAATAGTTAATGCAGATGGTATAATGTCAGAATTACAGGAATAGCCAAGTTTATATTAATAAGTAATAACTAATCAAAACATTATAATGAAATTAATTTACCTTATTGTCAAATACTTCTTTGTTGAATAATTTAAATAGTATTGACACTAAATCATCTTTGTTTTTTTTAAACTTTAGTTTGTACTTTTGAGCTTCGGGATCACATTTCATAGATCCAGTAAAACCTGAAACATCGAGTATGACAACTATTGAATATAATTTAGTTTTTTCATTTTATAATACTATGTTAATAAAGTTGCCAAAAATATACAAACTCATCAAAATAAAACACACAGTTGGGAAAAAGAAAATGGAAAATTATCGCAAGCCCATAAAAAAGCACAGCAGTGTTATTTATAGTAAGTCGACCCCCAAACTTCTAGCATAAACTTAACGGTGATAATATTTCTTGATCAACAAGCATAAAATATCTTGTAGTTATTCTAGAACTTGAAACGTACGCTTCAAAATTACAACAGTTATTAGTAACATACAACATTCTATCTCCTAGTTAATTGGAAAACAAAAAATTTAATCTATACATAGTTATAACTTATAACTTATTTTTTCTATCTCAAAATAATGTAATAAAAAGTATAAAACACAGGGAAAAGGTTGGGCACCCAATTTTTTTAAGTAAAAAAAAAATGAATTACAGATCTATTTGGCCTATAGTTGTTTCTTTTTCAACCTTAAACAGTAGATTAGTTTTAACATCATGATTATTAATTTATTTTTAATCCATAATTCAATTTTAAAAGATAAGTATTCTAGCAATACTTACATGATAGAGAACTCAAAAATGATAGCGTTGCTTCTAAATTAGATTTAATTGGTATTTCAGATTGTAAATTTTTGTGAGTGTCATTTTTTTTTATATCAGTATCTTCCTTGAATAATTTTTCTTTATTGATTTTTAAATTTTTCAGTTGGTTTTCATTTGTTCGATGTTTTGAAGTCCTACAAAAATAAATCATCCAATTATTTTGCAGTAGACCCATTTCATGGTCTTCATATGATTATTATTATTTATGTTTATGTTATAATATGATGATTTAATTGAATTAAATATTAATGAACACAATTATTTGCAACATTTATATAAGTTTAATTTTCCCACAAGTTTCATAATTGTTTTATGTTGATATTAATAATATGAACTTGCACCTATCCATTTATTAATACATCGTTATTTACTTACTTATAATTTATTCGACTTCCAGAAGGATGAGTAACATCTAACTGATCAGTTAGATAATTTTGATCACTGGATAAACTGAACTTTCTAGAATGTCAAATACAGTATATTATATTTAAATACTTTCATGTAATAAAATTAAATTCTTAAATAATATATAATTTTTTTTGTACATAAATATAAAAATAATAATCTAATTTAGATTCTAAGAGCTCCGATGAATGTATTTATTTATTTTTGTGTTTGTACAAGATTAGTAGTTGAAATAATCTTGGATTTTCAACTTCAGTATCTTGTTTGATGGGAAAGTGAACTTACTTGGTAATTTTAGAAGATCAAAATTTAAAATTCCCAATGGTTTTCAAAAGCGCCCGGAAGAAACAAAATAAAAATTAAGGAAAAACTGGAAATTTTATGCAGAATTGGTTTTTGAAAAAATTTAGTGTAAATTTAAAACAAATGATGTAAATACATGAAATTTTATTAGCCTTTTCTATACATGAAAAAATTTAACATACATCAAAATATTTTGAGCTGTTGACGGATCTACTCAGTTTCCAACTTTTTTAGGTTTTCTTTTCTATGAATATCAATAAAACTTTATTTGTCTGGTATAAAAGCTTGAAAATTTAATACAAAGCTCCTACTAAAGTTACAATGACATTTAAAAATTATAAAAAATCCTTAGCCAGTCTTTTTTTATAAGCATTTTAAGATCAAATCAAATCAAATCAAATCAAATCAAAATACGGAAAAACACAAAAATGAGCAAATTATTTGAGTTAAGAATTCATAGAAATTTTTCTTTTGAAATCTAAGGTATGAAAATGTAATACAGGAATCCTCATAAGTTTCTCTACCTTTATATAAAAAAAAAATGTCTACAAGAAGTCACATTAAATTTTTATGACAGTTTGAAATTCAAATTTTTACAACATCGGATATTCCCTTCATTTCTCATGTAGCAATTTTATTATTTTGTTGTAATTCAAAAACAAATTACTGTAGATAAATGAAAATTTTACTGAATGTTTAAATTCTCAATTTCCATACACCATAAAATTTTGACTTGTTTTGAACTGTTTACGGACAATTTCAAATTTAAATTTTTTTATGAATATTAATAAAGTTTTATTTGATGGGCCTTAAAAGCGTGAAAATTTAATACAAGGCCCCTTAAAATAACAGTTAAAAAACATTAAAAATACATAGACACAATTTTCTATTATAAACATTTAAAGTTCAAATTTTGACAAAATATATCAAATTTAAAATTTAATAATTATTTTGTAGTTAAAAATTTATAAAATGTTCAACTTTTATATCTAAGGATTGACAATTTAAAACAAGGAAACTTTTTATAAGGAGGTTATATATAAATTACTTTATTCACAATAATATCATCAAATATACTTGGTAATATCATTGGCTGACTGACCGTCTTCTCTCAGAATCATTTTTTTTTTTTTACAATGATATTATATCAATGAATTTAAATTTAACACCATCCATAACAGTGAACCACTTGCAATCTACTATACAGCAGTGACACCCACTTGCCACCTTTATTTGTTTAGATCTATAGCTGATTGGTTTAAATAATGGATAAACTGTTAACTAAAGGACATAATCCAGCATAGGGTTGAGTTAAGTGTAGGTTTAAATGGTCTATTTTAAGTAAAATGTATAGTTCATTCAAATCTGTTTAAAAGATTCTAATCATATAATTGATACATTAGAGCTATAATAAGACTTGAAAAGGGAGTTTTTTTAATGACCAGGAGTGGTGCTATTGGGCTCTTTCTGTTACAATATATTATCCATATTAGGTAGTTTTAAATGAAACATACTCTAAAATTATTGAAGTGTCATCCACTTTATTTTGAATACTGTATTCTTGATGTTTTTTTGAAAATTCACAAGGTGATGCTAAAATAAATATAGTTCAGAATATTTAAATATTGAAGTATCATAAGCTAGGAAAATGAAAACCAACATTACTTACAGTGTTTAATTTCGTTGTCATTTTTGTTTGAAATATTTTCATTATAACACCTGAAACAATTTATTTGTTATGGTATAGTTTTAATAAAAATCATATAAAAATTAGGTTAAGTCTAGTTTAGCATTTTTTTAGGAAACCTATGTATTTCAACGAGTTTAAAACGATGGTGTAAAAATAAATTTGAGGAAATGATTATTTTGGAAGTTATAGCCTTCCAAAGTTTGCGATTTTACTAGACTTGTTCCAAAAATTGCAAACTAGTTCAAATTAAAATAGGTTATCTTTGATTGGATAATATTAATTTTTTTTTTAAATTAAGCATAATTATAAGGTAATCATATTAATCTAATTGTTTATATAATACTTACTCATTATAATCCGCATTGAGTTCATCATTTAAATACTTCGTTTTTGAATTTTGGAGTACTCCATCAACATATCGCCATTCTTTACCATAGATGCGGTCTAATAGTTTAGCAGATTCTGAGAGATGATTGTTTTGAATAATATGCTTTTTTACTGGTGTAATAAAATTATTTTTTGAATCATCCTTGCATTTAGTTTTAGTAAAACTGTCTTCGGTACCAGAAGAATGATCTTTTGAATTAATATTTTGAATGGACTTATCAGAATGTAAACTTGTAAATGATTTGAAACTATCATTTGAATCAGAACTGATACTATAAATTGATATATCAAAATTTATACATTTTTTTGTTTCTATTGCTGATTCTTTTTGAAAATCAATGTGATCAACATTAATATTATTATTTAATTTTTGTTTAGAATTAATTTTCGTTTTTGATCTGGGTTTAAATGTATCGAATAATTCTAAACTAGAATCAGAAAAATTATAATTTTCTTTGTCTGACGTATTTTTTAACGATGTCTTGATTCTACTTGAGTTTTCATTAATTAATTTATTTCCTACTTTTTCATCCAATTTTGGCTTGGTGTTTAATCGTACTAGAGAAATAAATTAAAGGATTATTTATAATTTATAAAAACATTATAGAAACATATATTTTTATAAAGCATGTAGGTACTTACTTTTAGCAGATTTTTTCATTTTGATCTATTTTGTAAGACTGCAAGGTTGGTTTCTATTGTCAATGGTAAATATTAATCAGATTTAGATGTATTAACTAAAAACCACCACAAAATTGGACAACACAAATTTGGATATTAGAGAATGTTCAATTTAGAATGCTATAAATTTTAATTAAATAATTCATAAATCATATTAAGCACTTAGCATGATATAATGGATCCTTTGCTATGCATGGATATTTGATGTAAACAATTAAATTTACAAATCCAGTCGAGTGTCAACTCAAGAGTCAAGACAGACAAGGAAGAATGAAGAATTGAAGACGTACGTGTAGTACAAGTTAGTATATATATAAACTAAGTAAAAGCAACCGTGAATCGTAATGTCTGACTTTTGAGTTACGACTTAAGAATTAAGAGTACTGACAACTGACAAGTGAAGTGGCAACTGACAAATGAGTAATGACAAATGACAATTTTTATTTTTTAATATCTTCTATTCTTCTGTGCCCAACGTCCGTACTTCGGTAAAGAAAAAAACCGTTAAAAATATTCATATTAGGATTATTCTGTGATGTTGGTTACACTGCGATAACAGATCACATCTTGAATTAAAATATCATACAAATAAGTAATAACATATTTTAAATTTTATCTAACTTCTTAAGTTTATAGGTCTATGATTTGAAAAGTACGGAAATACAGAAATTATATCCTTTATAACAAAGATTGAAAAATATTTCTATATCGTACTCTTCCTTAGAAAAGTAAAATAATTATATTATATTATTATTATTGTACACTTGTTTTTAATTTTTTAGTTTCTACGGATGTTATCATTGGGTGTTGTTTAATAACAATGAGTGTTATCATAGTCCATAGATATTGTAAGATAAATCGTGGGCAAGATTTCGACTTTTCGAGACTACATTACTATTTACTACTAAAGTGACAACACACAAGTTACAATTACATAACTATTAACTATTTAACTACAAATACAATATTAACTATTAAGCCGAGATTGTGTCGTAACTTGTTAAAATATGTTGTATTACTAATTATTTCTAAATCATTTGTATGTTAATAATTGTCATCAGTCACACGGATCTATGGTCTCAGAAAAACCTTACATCTAATTATTGTAATATTGTATACGAATATGAATATAAATTTAATATCCACGTTTACAGATATACTTTTATCTAAAATAGTGCTTAGTGGACGCCTGGGTCTCAGAAGTCAGAATAAAATATAAATTAATTTAAATAATTATAATTGACGGGTGGAAAGGTGGATTAGTGTATTTATTTTATAGTAATATACTCGTATAGTATCTTAATACTTAAATCTTGTGCAGAGTTCAGGACCACCATAGTCCATAGACCTACAAACTATTGAAAAGGTAAAATAGTTGATCGAATATCAATGACTTAAGTTAATTAGGTACATAATAACTTTCTACAGTCAATGTCAACATCAGACTTGTGAAATCAATCCCAAAGTCATTTTAAAATGTTAATAATAAAATAAAGTCTAATTGATGTTTCAATTTCAAACTATACATTACATGGATATTTTCAGAAGTAAGTACTATGAATAACAATGTTGAGAATGTTTAGTGAAATGAGCTACAAATTACAATATATTTATATATTATCAACGTGTCTGCGTCCGATTGTCTCAATATATTTTGATATCATCATTCATCCGTCGCCCGATCTTGATACTGATAATAATAATAAATAAAGTTCTACAAAATTAGGTAGGAATTAAATCTGAATAAGTCGATCTATCAATGATCAATTCGCTGTTAGATTTCTTTAAGTTTAAACATTCAGTAACCCAAATTACAATATCGCCTCTATTGGTGTCTATCTCTTAGTTTCTTCTATCCGCTATCGTAATTCTTAATATACCTATTCTGAAAAGTGAAAGTTATGTAATATATTATAATATTAAGCTAACCTATTCACTATTGTTAAAACTTAAAGTTTGTTTTTCCCAAAATGTTATACTCTTTTAATTCATGAAATCAGTTCAGTCGTAATCTTAATTGATATTAGAAGGTTTGGAGATAAAAATCTCAGCCATGAGTGGGTACGTCTCTATCGTCTATAGTCTATACGTTATTCTCCTCCAAATTGTTTAAAAATGAATGATATTGATACCCAACAACCTATTATTTAAACCATTAGGCTTTGGTTTAAAGTTTAAACTATTTACTCATTATTATCACATTCATGTAAATAGCGATTGAAATATTGAATGACCCATATCTTATGGAAGCCTACGATTATTTTATTAAATTTGTACTCAACATTGAATATAAGTTGTAACGAGTATGTAATATTACAATTTATAAAGTAATATATTATTATAATAATATAACGCTCCCCGTTCACTCAAAGGTTTGAAAAATCACAAAAGCGCGGGGTCGTGTGGTCGGTCGGACCACAGAGGCACAGAGCTCGGACTGGACATTTGGTGTCACTGGTTACGGTTCATACCGTTGCTCCGTGTCCGTATTCCCCGTTTTCAGTTTGTGATTGTCGCCGATCATGTATGGTAGTCTTGCGCGTCCGTGAAACATGTGCAGTCCGCTTAACGTTGGCCGATCGTCGATGTTGTTATTACTGTGCATCCGTCTGTTTGATTATAATGTCAAATACGTTTACTGTTGAAAAAAAATCGGAAACCAAATCCAATCCTCAGCACTCGCCCACCGTCCGGGTACAAGCCGAATTGTTCGAACCCACCGACAACAGATATCCGGTGTTCAATTATCAGAAGTTACTCATCGAAGAGGTAAGTGCAACGAAGTCGAGACTGTGCATGTAAGCAATGCACGCACATATACTTCACACACATATATCGTACACGCACACACGCACCAACACCCGCGTATCCCCCGCGTAGGTGCGTATTGCAAATTTCTATAACGAGTAGGTTGCGTGCAATCGATGCGTATACTCTAATTTATTATTGCATTATTATCGCACGATAATAATTTGTTACAAGTTTATAAATCACGGCACGTATCCACGGGATCCGTAGGCACAAATGTCGAGATCTGTCAATCCGACTTTTTCGGTGGCTCGCGGTTGACGGACTACCGCTCGTCGGGGCCGCTATCGTCACGATAACGGTGTATATAGCGTCGTCCGCGTCCTCCCGATGATGATACCCTACGACATCCCGACCGTCCCGTTGTGTACACATTAGTCGACTTTTTGATCGGTGCGACTTGATGTGTAACGTCCACGCGCCTTGTATGCACGTCGACTCGCCGTTTTCATGTCCGCATAGCATTTTCAACTAATTTCTGCTGAAATTAGTGATTTCTATGTGATAGCCGGGATCATTTTTCATTTTTCCGCGGTGCTGTGCATTTATTTTTCAATAGTTCTATATTCGTAGTACCTATATCGGATGGAAATTTATTCGACTTTAAAAAAAATACCCGGATATTATTTTATTCTAAAAATATTTACAAATCCAAGTATCACTTATAAATTTCTCTTAAAGTGTTTTATTTATTGTAAATATTTTAATTTTGTTTTTAGCAACCATATAACTTTTTGGTATATGTGTTATTATGTTTATTAATTTGGAACTAAGTAAACACATCAAAGTTTTCTCATTTGTATGTAGGTACACCTACTATTATATTATACAAATTTATTGTTTTAAAGATTTTTCAAATCATTGAAGAATGAAATTATTAAATTAAAAATTATAATTTTAATTTGCCCTGAATGATGATCACTGTCTACAATTTATATTTCACCTATTAGACTTATTTTTTTTTTAAACCACCTATTTTTTCCTGTAAACATTTATGTACTAACAATATATTTGAATTAAGTATAGATAGAATATAAGCGATACGAATAGAAATGGCCTAATCCATCGTAATACCGGAGGTTTTCGGTGTTCTGATCTATTGGCATTAACACTAGCCCCTTGGTAACTTTATAATTCAAATTTTTGGCTGACAAACAAAATTTCACTCCTGAAATTTTTTCCTGGATCGTCCCTGAATGGTCAATGAAAAAAAAACAATGTGCTGTACTCATAGAAGGGTGGAAATAGGATTTCCATGAATGTTATAATGTAAATTATTATATTCTCCAAATGTGCTCTGTTCAAATTGATGCTCGTAAAATGTATCTAGATATGTCTTGGCATATTAATGAAGTGTTAAATGGAATAACTGTATTAATTCCATGTGGAAAATTACTATTTAAACTGTACATTTTCACTATAGTACCAAACATTTGATAAGATTTTGTAAAAACATGAAGTTGTTTTTTAGATTTGAGTAAAATAGTTCTTCCATGATTGTTAAATCTTAAAACTATTGGTTTAATAAATTAATTTCTGTACAAATTAATCTAGTTCAATTATCAACTATTAAAAAGTTGTAACATAACAACCTACAGTCAGACTTCTAAATAAATTGTCTTCATTCTTAATATTATAGGTGTACATATAAAAATAATAATTCAAAATTCAATATAACTGGCATAGATTAAACTCCCATATTATAATTAAAGATAATACCTACATATACCCCATACAATTTTCTCCTAATGTTCAAGATGTCTACTAATTTTTCACTTATTTCATAGATTAGGTACCTATTTAAATCGATAGTTAGATAGATTTCTGACGTTTTAGTTATTTTTTTTTTTATATTATATTCTTGCAATTCTATTGTCTTGAAAAAATACCTCTTTAATTGAAATACTTATCTTTTTTTTCTAATTTTTATTGGGTAATGGATATCTACCCACATTTATTTTCTTATTAATAATTTACAATAATCACTATTTAATAAAATCTAATATTTTTAATTATGTATATTTACTAATATAAAATAATAAAATGATAAATAAAAATATTTTATTATACCTGATTGAAAATAAATCTAGTACGGGCTTTGGGTATTTTATTCAAATATATTATTATTATATATTATATAATAGAGGTATTAAATTAATGTTTTCATAATAT